GACAGCTGAAAATGTGACTCATAATTTCCTGCAGATAATCAAACAATGAGTTCAAGTTTCAGGTCTGTAAAACGATAATTGCAAAATGACCGTTTTCAGGTTCTAGTCCAAGTGTCATTTAACTCTTAACTATGGTTCTATGAATGATGAATCTATCGTTTAAACAATGGAAGATTACTTCATGGAGTATTATGGTTCATGTTCCCCTTAACCAAGCAGTCTCTGTAGTATTTCTTATCAATGAAATTACACCATTCATTAAAAATAGATAGCAATTTTAATGTGGAGACTGCGTGACTAAATCCGGTCAAAAGTCGAAAAACAGTCGATGAAGGGATCCCCATGAATCAAAAGATAACGATTTTATTTTGAAATAAATTCTTCTGGTATAATTTAGGTACTTCACAAACCACGTAGACTGCGTATTAGAGAGGAGATTGGGCGGTAAAAACAAACTTGAATTTATCAGGGATCAGAGATCCTCTTTGAATCCTGTCTGAAATCCACTTTGACATAATTATGTTTCATTGTCGCATTGAACCTGGTTAAAACCCACGTGTAGAAATTTCATTAACGGGCCTTGGCCATCAGTGAACGGTAGGGGAAGGATTAGGATGTAAACAAAAAAGAATTTTATCGAAAAGTCACTTGCTCACCCCTAGAATGGTAGATTAGGCTATTAGAAACAATTTACATGAAAATTCTTTAAAAAAAAACTAATTAGAGGCAGCACGCTTCGATTTTCTGAAAAAAAAATGTCAACAATTTCAAATTGCAACGAAATAAATTAATCCACACGGTTATCACAACAAACTCTCTTATGACTATAAAGTACGCTCTTTCTTTGGAAAATGGGACTACCCAGTAAAGGAGTATACTGTTTTTACTCTCTTTTGCGTAAATTGAATGTACGTTAGAATCTGCATACTTTTTACACCAAATAGTAAACTTAAAAATGCGTAGTTTTGACACCCCTAACAAAGTATAAATGCGTAATTTATACTCCCACATGTATATAGTTAAATGCATAGTTTTTACAATGAAAAAAAAAATAATACCTACGATAAAACAAATTTTGTATTTCAAGTTCGTTTCAAATATTGAATAAAAATGCACAAGAGTTTTAACAGTAATATTTATTTATTTATTTATTTAATTAAATGTATAAATCCTTTCTAGATTTGATTCGCATCAATCGTCTCACGCATTTGATTACAAAGTTTATTAACTGAGAGCAGGGCTCTACAATTTCGAAGCTCTAAAATGAACTCGTGTTTTGTTTCTCTCATACATACGTGTTCGACGCTTCATTTCTATAACGCCTAGCTAGACTATCAGCAAGAAACGAAAATAAAAAAGAAGGACGCTTAGAAGGAAAGGCTGGCTGTGGAACTTCTCGTCGTTGCTTTGCTCATCGCTTTCAATGTAACTAACGTCGATTTTCTAGTTAAACGAACTTCATTATGGCTTTCAATCCCCTTTCACGAACACTCTATCACCGCTCTTTCAATTTGTTTAAAATGCGTTATGTCCCGTTTTCGATCATTTTTTTTAGATAAATATATGGATGGAAGATAAATTAGAAATATGACGTGTAATCTTCAAGTGTTTTGACGTGAGAAATGCTTTAAATGTGTTATTTCATTTTCCGTCATATACGTCATGAAACCTCTGTTGATGTGTTTCATGAAAGAGAAAACTATCAAAGTCGAGCGCTCTTTCGCTCATCCATTTCGACGAAGCTTGAAAGGAAGACCAATGGAGCGACGGGAGAAAGAGAGATAAGCGATTGAACATTTGTTTGTGCACGCCGACTGAGGTTCTAGAATGCTGCGAAGCTGTTCGACTTTAACAGAAAAAGAAAGCCAGCAGTCTCTTCGTCGCATCGATTTGCTCGATTGAAGCTGATATTGTGACGCCCTGACTGAGAGTCATGAACTGCTCATTTTTACTTTATAGCTAAGTATTTCAACTAATTCAGTAAGCTTTATCAATGTAGCTGGTACCTTGTAGTTAAATACACTGAAATTTTTTACAAATGTATCTACTGCTTGGACTGAACTAGTACCCAAGGAAAAAATATGGCCCTCAATGAACATCATGTAGACGTTTCCCTGGTTAACAATGTGCGGAGGCACCGGCGCATTATGCAGAACTGCGTACGCTGCATATTTTCCCATTTGTATAGCTAACGCCGAAGGGGATTCCTATTGATAAAAAGGTAACGATATTAATTTTGCAAAAGAGCAAAATATTAAAAATACTTACACCAATCCATCGAATCAGCGGTGCTGCCAACTCTTCCTCGACTCCCAATGGCATCACGTTTGGCGGTTTTTTAACGCCTTTTCTGGACAGTTGTCCAATGATTCGGAGGCATCCGCGGACATGATCTACATTGAGATGAAAATGTCATTTAACACGTAATGAATACTCGATATCCATGATAAGTTTACTTCTGAGTGGTTAAGTTTTTTTATTGCTTCTTTGTAATGGTGCCAATGATGCTAACTTATTTAACATTAATATGAGTAGCAACCTTACGCTGACAAGCATAATATATTTAAACTTACCATCTCGAACTTCTGTAAGCGTTCCGCTTTCAAGCATAAGGCCCAAAGAAAATATTTTCCTCAAATCTGATTATATGATGTATAATGTGGTAGAACTTGGAGGATGGCAGTTACTGTTTTCTTGCCAGGTATAAGTAGGTTATGAAACGGTTGTATGTCTGCCATCAGTGTGGATATATTGCAAAAATTAGCCGGTGTCGCATCCAGTTGTGCACATTCTTCGGACAACGCAATTATTTCGGATGATACGCTAGATGCTTCGAAAGTTTTTGGCTGTCGAGAATACTTCCTTTTACTTGGTGATTTCGATCTGCAGGAATTTCGGATATGGGTATGTATTAGGCCGGAATGAGCATGCCCTGCTATCTTTCCGCAATTCTGCCAAAAGAACAAAGACCTATTTCCTAATCTACATATTTCAAACTTATGAATAGTGTTTCATTCAAGCCGTTACATTTCCACAAACTGTACGTTTTTTTAGTCGAAATAGTGTCAATTGGAATACGCACAACCTGATCCACCAATCTCACTTCGTAACTATTATACATTGCCCAAAATTGTTGCAACTCTAAAACCTGAATAATACAAATACAGTTATTGTCGTTCTCAATTAATTATATGATTTGAGTAGTAGCTATACTGAAGATCCGAGAGATGTCGCCCCTTCAGTGGTAGGAAAATCATTTTTGCAGCATGGAGAATATCAGAAAATCCACGATTTGTGACTAAACATGCATTCACAGAAGGAAACAAATAAACGAGTTTTTACCTTATCACCATAGCCATGTACTCGTGCAATTTTTGTGCATCTAAATTTGCTCATAAAGACGATAATGAATAAAAACTGAACATTTTCATGCAATTCAAAATGGTTTCCTACCATTCCCATACATTCGAAAGTGACTGGCCCTCTGGATGTGGATGATGTCAAAAATAACAAAACATAATTAATTATTGCGTTTAAAATGCCATATGTTTCAGAGGCATATGACTTATACTTGACCACTATTTCAGGTCGCAAAGATGTACCATTGATTTTTAAATGCTTAATGTGTCTGACATTATCAGGTAGATCAAATAGAATCAAATTAAAATTCAAAAAAGGTCTTCTTCGCGATCACTACGGACACAACAGTAACTTTATCAGTTTCGTAATTATGATGTAAAATTGAATTGATTTGCTTAAGATTAATTCTGCTCGTCAAACTTAATGTGATGTTTTTGAAATTTCTACTAAGTTTTTGATTGCGCTTTTGATATCTTAAAGTTAGCCTCAAACTGAAGACAGTTCATCTTACTTATCAGACCATTATTTTCCACGATTTTAGGATAGTGAGCGACAGGGTGCCTTCCATTCATTTTGGATAAAAAAAAATGTATTATTAAATTATGGAATAATAAGATATTATAGTAGTATTTTGTTTGTGTAAGCAACAAGAAAAGACTGTGAAGTTTGTGTTTGACACATAATACCTGCCAATTTTGCTACACGAGTGTCGCAATAAGCGATTTTGTCATTTATCTCACCCACTCTTCGCTCTTCACTTTTCCCGAAGCGGCGATTAGAAAATCGCTCTTTGTGACTCTGCCAAAGCTAAATTTGCAGGTTTTATGCGTCAAACACAAACATTACAATCTTTTCTTATTACTTACACAAAATATCATTATAATATCTTACTATTCTATAATTTAATAAAACTGTTGGGGAACGGAGTACTCACTTCGATAGCACTGGCGATGTTCCTCCAACACTCGAACCTATCCGTGACCTTGCCAAGGTGATTGGGGTATGCCTGCTGCTAACCAGTATGTTTGGGCTATGGAATCCTTCCAAAGGATTTGGTTTCAGGAAATCCAACAAAATAACACACACTCGCGGTTACACTAAACACTAACTACAATCACTACATTTATTATCTGTTTAATATAACATTTATTCGCTTAAAACTAAACGTACGTTATTTAATTATACTACGCGTGAGGTCTACCGCCGTGTTTGACCTGGGATGTACGAACAACCAACTGACGAGCTCTTCCACGAACGGTCATCATCCAGCCTGGGATCGCCGCTTGCGATGATCTTCGATCGGTCCTCTCCTGCCGTTATCCTCTCCAGCCGAAATTCACCACTGCAGTAGATATCGGGTGACGTCATGGATGATGCTCTTGCGAGAGTTTTGATCTCCCACTCGTGATCTTCGTCGGTGCGCCATCCCATCTATTGCAGCAAACGAACAGCCAAGGAATACAAAACAATGACCACACAGTTGTATGGTCCGGTTGTATTGTACTGATTTTGGATGCTGGACCAGGGTTGTAGTTTCGGGTGGTTGTATACTCGAACATCCTCACCCACCCAGAAAATGCTGAAGTTTCTGTAAATAAAGAAAGAAAAAACCTCTTCGCGGGATGGGGTGAAAAGGATATTCATTCGATCTGGATTGATGTTTCGTCTGGCTCCGTGCTTTCGTTATCGTCCTGGACTGGTAAGATACAAATTTTCTCTACTGGACGAATCAGCAGTCCTGTTGCGGTTTTCAAGGTGACCACTCTCACAGTTCCGTCTTCACCAGGGTGTACCTTGACAATTCGTCCCATCTTCCAGTGCATGGGAGGTTGGTTATCATCCTTGATGATCACTAGCGTTCCGATGTCGATGGGAAAAGCTGGTTTCCACCGTTTCACTCGACCTTGAAGCTGGCACAAATATTCTCTTCGCCAGCGTTTCCAGAAATCCTGCAGCCTTCGCTGGGTCATCTGCCATTGGTTGAGACGATTGAAAGGGACATCCGTGAAGTCTGGCTCTGGAAACGCTTGTAATGATTCTCCGACCAGAAAATGAGCGGGCGTTAATGGCTGGACATCGTTAGGATCATCGGAGAGGGGGGTCAGAGGGCGAGAGTTGAGACATGCTTCGACTTGTGTGAGCAGTGTACTCATGTCTTCCGGGGATACTGGTGCTTCTCCTACGACTTTCAGTAAATGGGTTTTACCCGACCGAACTGCAGCCTCCCATAGGCCACCGAAGTGTGGCGCGCTCGGAGGGTTGAAGTGCCACTGTATTCCTTCCTTGGCTAATTCCCTGGTGACAACTTCACGGTGTTCATTGTTCTTGAGCAACTTGAGGAAGTCCTGCAACTTATTCCGTGCACCGACAAAGTTGGTGCCATTGTCGGAGAAAATATCGGTACACCGCCCTCGCCTGGCGATAAAACGTCTCAGTGCCTGAAGAAATCTGTCGGTTGACAAATCCGAGACAAGTTCCATGTGCACGGCCTTGGTACACATACAAATGAAAATCGCTACATAGGCTTTGACTGCCGGACGCCTTGGAGCGAGCCTTACGTAGATTGGACCAAAGTAGTCCACACCCGTCCGTCAAAAGGGTCGAGATACCGTGACTCGTGACGATGGTAGATCCCCCATCTGTTGTTGGACTGACGATGGTTTCGAGCGGAAGCACGTCTGACATCTGTGGATTATGTTCTTCACCACACTCCTTCCTCCTAATGGCCAGAAGCGAAGTCTTACAACACTCAACAGTAGTTGTAGTCCAGCGTGTAGCAGTCGCTCGTGGTAGTGTCGTAGCAGCATGTGAGTGAATAGATGCCGTGCTGGCAGTACAACCGGATGCTTGGTTTCTTCCGTTTCCATGGAATGCTTCAAACGGCCGCCAAGCCGAATTAGTTGATCCGTCGATATGAATGGATTGAACCACCGCAACGCCGATCCTCTCGCAACTGCCTCCCCTTTGGACAACGCCTTCCACTCTGCCACGAAAATCTCTTTCTGCGCCAGGCGTACTAGGGTGTTTTCCGCCTCCTTCAACTCTCCCGTCGACATGAATGCTGGGATTTTTCTCTCCGTTCGAGGTGTTCGTAGAAGCTTCATGTAGCGCAACCAATAAGCTGTACAACGAACAAGATCGGTGTAGGACGAAAACTTGCTGAAATACGTTTGATTGAAGTCGGCGAATGCTGAAACCGGTGCAGCAACTACAGTACGCAGTCCTCGTCTCCTTCTCCAGTTGGTGAATTATGTGGCAGGCTTGGCCATTGACCTTCTTCTTCCTCTAGCCAGCTCGGTCCTTGCCACCAGAACGAATTGTTCACGATATCTTCCGGTGAAATCCCTCTGGAGATAAGATCTGCGGGATTTTGAATTCCTGGAACGTGTCGCCATTGAGATTCCTGGGTAATGGACTGTATTTTTGAAACTCTGTTTGCAACGAAGGTGGTCCAAGTCATTGGAGGAGCTTCTATCCAACGCAGAACGCAGGTGGAATCTGTCCAGAAAAACGACCTTCCCTTGAACCGAATCGATTGTGCAACCTTTTCAAAGAGCTCTGACGCAAGGAGCGCCCCGCACAATTCCAGTCGGGGAATTGTTTGAGGTAAGAAGACGAATTTTCACTTCTCCGTTGACATTCTGGCTCCTCGTGTACAGACATGCTCCATACGCCTTCTCCGAGGCATCCGAGAAACAGTGGATCTCCGTCGAGACAGCATTCGAAGTGATGACACAACGGTCAATGCGTATTTCATTAAACAGTGGTAGCTGTTCGTGGAATTTTCTCCAGGGCTCACCCACCGTCGATGGTAGCGACTGGTCCTAATCAAGCCTTTGACCTTGTCCGTCACGTAATGCCCATAACTGTTGCATAAATATCTTGGCCGATGTTATGGCAGCTCCCAACAGCCCCAGAGGGTCAAACAGTGTGGCAATTACTGACAGCACGTATCGTTTAGTGAGCGGTGTATCAGGGTTCAGACTAGGAACTGAAAACTGGTACTTGAGAGTATCGGAGACTGGCATCCAAGTTAGCCCCAGTGTTTTGATTGAGGGATCTGGATCCAAAACAATCCCTTCTGACGACCGAATCGCCAGGTCTTCCTCCGGAATGCCTTCCAGCACCGCTGGGCAATTCGAAGCCCATTTCCGCAGCTTGAATCCACCACTTGACATCATTGTGTTTAGCTGTACCCGCAATGTGGTTGCTGTTTCTTCGTCGTCCGCCCCTGTAATGACATCGTCCATGTAGGTGTCATCGAGAACCGCTCTCGCTGCGAGTGGATATTGTGCCTCTTCATCCAAGGCTAGCTGTTTGAGCGTTCTTGTCGCCAGGAAAGGTGCCGATGTAGTACCATATGTCACGGTGTTGAGCTCGTACAGATGAACACATTCCGCAGGTGAAAAGCGCCACAGAATGCACTGCAATGCACGTTCCAGTAGGTGAACAAGAATTTGTCGGAACATTTTCTCAACGTCCGACACAAGCATGATTTGTTTTGTCCGACTGCGGAGTGTAATGGATCGAAGGTCCTCCTGAATGACTGCCCCTGTCATTAGCACGTCGTTGAGTGATACTCCGTTGGATGTCTTGCACGACGCGTCGAAAACCACCCTCACCTTGGTGGTGGTACTTGCCTCCTTGATGACTGGATGGTGTGGGAGGAAGCACCGTTTATCCAACTCCATATCCGTTTCAACCACCTCACGCATGTGACCGAGCTTGATGTAGTCCTCCATAAACGCATTGTATTGTTTCCGAAGTGATGAATCCTTAGCCAGTCTGCGTTCCGTTCCTTGGAGACGCCGGTATGCGATGTCCCTTGAGTCGCCCAACCGTGAGACGGCATTCATCGGTAGTGAGACGGTGTACCGACCGTCCGAACCTCGTTGTACTGTGCAGACAAAGATGTCTTCACACCGTGTTTCCTCCGGCGAGTGAGCCTTGCCTGACTCAACCTCCTCACAGGACCAGAAACGAGAGATCAATGCATCTAACTCATCCAGTGTCGATACATTGCAAGTGATTTGGAGAGAGCGAGATGGAACAGAGACACCACCGCTTACTATCCATCCAAATACGGACTCATGGAGAGCTGGATTACCTTCTCCCAGGGACATTCTTCGACCAGTTTCGAAGAAATCGAAAAAGTGTTCGATACCGAGAACGAGATCCACTGCGTTCGGTTCGAAAAATGCGGGATCAGCCAGTTTAATTCCGCATGGAAGCGACCATCCATTCGTATCCACTCTGATTGTTGGCAGGTTCACCGTCACCTTCGGGAGAACCAGAAAGTCTAGTTCACGTGAGAACTGAGACACTCGTGAGCGCACCAATGCGTGTACCCTTTGTTTGACCTTGATGGTCGCTTGTCCGATCCCGAGCACCGATATATCCACTCGGTCGCGAGTTACCTTCATCAGCTGACTCAATCGCTCAGTGATAAAATTGCTCTCCGACCCTGAGTCCAGAAGAGCGCGAGCGTGATGGCGACAGCCATTGTCATCCTCAATTATAACGACAGCCGTTGCCAACAGTACCTGTGATGCATGCTGGTGGACCGTACCAGACACCAATGCATTCGTAGCTGTCATGCTAGCTACTTGGCTGGAACGAGATTTCGATGGATCTTCAGGAGGAAAAGGTTTGTTGCATCCAGCAGCAGCCGATACCCGTTTATCACCATCTCCTTTTGGGTTGAAACATACCAGTGAGTGGTGGCGACCCTTACAGTGCCGACAAGAATATTTGGATTGGCATTCCCTAGCCAAGTGTCCGGCCTTGAAACAATTCCGGCAGAGCGAGTGTGTCTTCAGAAGAGCATCTCTGTCTGAAACCTCCAGCCGTTGGAAAGCGTTGCACTGATAAAGCGGATGATTTGTTGAGCAGACCACGCAGCGTCCCCCAGACGTTTGGGTTGAACCATAGCTGGCCTTCACCGATGATGATTTCTGCTTCTGTTGTGATTGTGTCTGCTGAACACCCCTAGTGTCAACAGACCTCGATGGTAGACAGTCCAATACCTGGATCCTACGATGCAGAAATTCAGTCAGATCCGCTAGCAAATCTTGCTCCTTCGTTGCAGATAGCTCCTCCCACCCCCTTCGTGTAACAGGGTCCAGTCGAGCAGTGAGGATATTCAGCAGCAGAAGATCCTTATAATCGGCTGGCTGGATAATCTGATCGAGAGTCTGCACTATCCTCTCAAAGCCTTCCACAAGAGTGTGCAGTTCAGTTCCAGATTCTTTGGAGAGCGTAGGCAGCTTAAACAACGACTGTACCTGCCGCTTTTTCAAGTGCTTGCTGTTATTGTACCGGCGCAATAATGATTCCCAGGCCACCTGGTAGTTGGCCTTCGTGATCGGTAGAGAATCGATCAGGTTCCTTGGTTCCCCTTGCAGACACCCTTTAAAGTAGTGGAACTTTTCCACATCTGGTAGATCCACCTTCCAATGGATGAGTGACGTGTATAAATCACGGATGCTAAGCCATTCATCGATGTCACCGTTGAAAGTTTGCAGTTTGATCTGTGGAAGACGAACGTGATCAACGGATCCGTGCACCGAAGCATCACTTGTTCGCATGGACTGTTCCAATGCCTGTGCTCCCTGGAAATCCTTGGCCTTGTCCATTAAAAACGACTTCGCTTCATAGTAGCGATCGCTGAACTCCGTACGCTCCTTCTCTAGCGTGGCACTTTCCGGTTTGTAGTCATCGTGGGCAAAGATTTCCACTAAGACCTCACTGTAACTTTCCCAAAGTTGATCCAACTTACCCAGGCGTACCTCAACCTCAGTAGCGGTGTTGGTTTCTCTAAACGCTTGCACAAACCGCAAAATATCGTTGAAGGACAGATTGATTTCCTTCAAACGAGCCGTCAATGCCATCATCGACGGTGGCTTCTTGGTAGCGGTAGGTAGCATGGTAATATGTCACGATAATCGAGAACCAAAGAGAGAAGCGGTGTGTAGTATGCTGCGAGTGGACCTAGCGTCGCTAGGCATATACTGCATTAAATTACCCGAGAAAATGAATAGCGGTGCTCCAGTTCAATCGAGTAAAGATGATCAACCCAAATATGTCGTATGACGTCACTCAATTGCTTAAATGCAGCAATAGCTCAAGCGGCGAAGTGGAGAAGCGAGCGAGGAGAGAGAATGTGGTGTAGTAACCGAATAAGTCGGCTTCGGCCGGGCATATACTGAGGCAACTTACTCGTATAAACCAACAGCAGCACAAATCCCGGTAAAGTCCGAATCTCCAAAACCATAAAAACGTATAATGTGCAAATAGATTGCTCAAGGATCTTCAGGGCTCAGCAAGTGGATGGAAAAGCGAAGAGGGTATGATTCAATTACAATGTGTATTTATCTGACGTCCTACTTCGTGACATATACATATTCTAAGCACTCACCCACGCAGATAAAACACGATGCTTCCTCTTCCTGTCACCGATCCGAAAACGTCTTCCTCCGACGAAAGTGATGGATGCAACCGGTTGATCGATTGATTAGGATGCCTAGTAACGAGAATGCAAGCCTGGAGAGCATTCGCGGCCGTAGTAGTACCAGCGATCGAGGCCAGGAACGTATCGATTGATCACGCTGATTCGTGCAGTTGTCCATCAACGCACAAGCATCTTCTGTCGTCCTTCGTCTCGGCGGTTGTTGAATGAGTTGTAGGAAGAAACGTCGAATTGTTGGTGTTAGTTTCGTGAATGGACTAGCAACGACCGGACATATACTGAACTAAAGTTAATTACCTGGATAACCAGAGTTGGAGCTGGTTCAGCAGTCCAAGGAAGTCGTTGCGATGATGAATGAGCGTGCTGGCCGTCCTTACGATGAAACTGAATTCCAGATTTCATGCATCGCAGTCGTAAGCAGAGTCATGCAAGTAATACATGCAGCAGCGATCGTTGCCTACCGATCGCAGTGATTGATTCCTCAAAACTCGTTCACAATTGGCAGTAGGTTCATTCATGCAATTTTAGAAAACGGGTGTAAGAATCACGTAATCTCCAAGCCTCGGCCGGACATATAGAAGTGGTTGCACTTACCCACGAAAAGGTTCCAACCGATGGATGTCCAGACCGAAGTCACGTTGTGCTTTAATCCTTTGTCCAGTGCAGTGATGGTGAACCGCTGATTGTTCGCGGAACAGATGGCTACCGCGCCGATTGTTCGCGAATGTGAGATGGCTACCGTGGTTATTGTCCGCAAGTGTGATGGCATCCACGCCAATTGTCCACTAGTGTGATGGCTACCGCGCCGATTGTCCACTAGTGTGATGGCTACCGTTCCAATTGTCCCGAGAGAGATGGCGAAAGGGCATGCGATGGCGCCACTAGCCAATTACCGAATCCAAGCTTCATCCGGTCCAGCCCATCCGGTTCGAAGGACCAAAATGTTGGGGAACGGAGTACTCACTTCGATAGCACTTAGAGATGAACTAGCCTAAGGCTAAAAATCTCTTAAATAAAGAATTAAAAAAAAACTTCGATAGCACTGGCGATGTTCCTCCAACACTCGAACCTATCCGTGACCTTGCCAAGGTGATTGGGGTATGCCTGCTGCTAACCAGTATGTTTGGGCTATGGAATCCTTCCAAAGGATTTGGTTTCAGGAAATCCAACAAAATAACACACACTCGCGGTTACACTAAACACTAACTACAATCACTACATTTATTATCTGTTTAATATAACATTTATTCGCTTAAAACTAAACGTACGTTATTTAATTATACTACGCGTGAGGTCTACCGCCGTGTTTGACCTGGGATGTACGAACAACCAACTGACGAGCTCTTCCACGAACGGTCATCATCCAGCCTGGGATCGCCGCTTGCGATGATCTTCGATCGGTCCTCTCCTGCCGTTATCCTCTCCAGCCGAAATTCACCACTGCAGTAGATATCGGGTGACGTCATGGATGATGCTCTTGCGAGAGTTTTGATCTCCCACTCGTGATCTTCGTCGGTGCGCCATCCCATCTATTGCAGCAAACGAACAGCCAAGGAATACAAAACAATGACCACACAGTTGTATGGTCCGGTTGTATTGTACTGATTTTGGATGCTGGACCAGGGTTGTAGTTTCGGGTGGTTGTATACTCGAACAAAAACATTGTTTTAGGCAAAATGAATGGAAGGCACCCTGGTGAGCGATGCGGTGAACTTTGTTAGTTGGCCTGATTGAAGGAAAGGATTGCTTAAAACTAGAATGAAAAATACAGATAGCACTTCTGAAATCTTCGATCATTTCTCTTGACAGTGAGTTTGAAAACGAATAGAATGTAATTTTTAAGATGTCGCGTATAATACTCATGAATTTTTCATTTTTGGTTAAAAGGTCCGTGAAAAGGAAAGGGGTCGCACGGAGTAAAAGCCAGGTTTGCGAGGCAGATTGAGATAACGCACACAGCAAAAAAATAATTTTGATATCACATCAAAGTGGATGCACTACAATCATGTCGAAAATTTCATGTAATTTTTATGACCACATAAATAAACAAATGCAGTAAAAGCAGCGTAATGTCAGTTCATGCATTGTATTAATGATAATTTTGTCCTTTTTAGCAAGTAATATTACACCATATTTTCGACATGATTGTAGTGCATCCACTTTGACGTGATATCAAAATTATTTTTTTGCTGTGCATGGCCAGACTTTTTCAAGCTCTTAGCAGAAAAGTTACCACATGGTTTATCCCTACTCTCCGCAATACCATAATCGAAGTTAATTATTCTCGCATTCAGCTCATGTTCAGATACGGATTTCGAAACATTGACAAAAAATTGTATATTTGCTTGAGGACCAGAGGGACTATACCTTCCAGCACATCGTGCATGGGATCGAAAGAAATGTTCTCTGAAATATGAAAATATTTCAATGAACTGAAGACATTTTCTCGAATGATTCCACATATTTCTGGAGTAGTCGAACCGTTTTTAATAGCGGCCAGATCAAGCAGATAACTTTCACGAGTTCTTGGCGTATGTTCGTTTCCAAATTGTCCGTTGTGGAGGTCTTGTCGTGCTATGTAGCAAGCTCTACAGAACATTTTTGATTGGGGAGGCATTAGATGCAGTAGCTCATGGATGGTGGCAGTATCACCCAGAATATGAATCAAAGTAGCTCGCAAAGTATAATTTTGACCGTTTACCTTCACTTGTACACCTTGGTTGGATTGCAAGGACATAAAATCTTTTATCAGTGGTTCGACAATTTTTTCGATCCCGTACTTTTTAACCAGTTTAGTCTTAACCATTAGGCATACGTATACGTGGTCCACTGAACTGTTGATTTTATCGTCAAGATTTTGAATTTTAAATGAAAAAATAGTAAGTTTTTGTTTCCCTTTCCGTGAACCGAGGGGGTTGCAGGTTTCAATATCATCAACGTGCAAAGATATGTGAAGAGCAAATGGATATTTTTTGAGAAAATCATTGGCTTCGAATAGAGAACCATCCTTAAAACTATTGAGCACGTTGCTGTCTGCTTTTTGTTCACTCGTAACCATACTTCTAGCATCTGAATTTTGCATTATAAGGGAAATAGTATCCTTCACCGAAATATAATGCATGGTATCTTTCACTGTACTTGTCTTCTTGACAGATCGGACTGTTTTCTTGGCCCTCTTGTCGGTATATCGTTGATAGCAAGTGGTTTTAACAATCTTCCGAGATCCTAGCAGAATTTCTTCAGGTTCCGGAACGCTACATTGAGCAGTTCCAGAAAGAAAACTTACATTACTATCATGATTCTTAACATCTGAGTACAAATCTGGAATCGTCATTGCATTAATTAATTGAACTACATTATCGTCTACAGCGAGATTTTTAGCACTTAGAAATTTCTTTAAGAGACTGAAAACAAAACGCTGATAGATGCTCAACATATTAATAGAATGTTCCATAAATAACTTGATTTTGGTTTCAGTAAGTGAAACATCAGATCGAACTGCAGTGATGAAAGCTGAAGCGATTCCCATCAGCCCTTCTCGTGAAATGGATTCCGTAAAATAATGAGGATTCGTTATTCCTTCCTTAGGCAGGGAAACCACTAAGTCTTCAGTTTCCGTTTCCATTGCTTCCGGAGGATTAGTGAACTCCAATTTTGGCGGTGTGAGGGGCTGATGGTGGTTCACTATGTGATCTTTGAGCCGTTTGAAGCACGTAAAAATAGTACCACAATCGCCACACCGAAAAGGAACTGCATTCTTTGAGCTGGTCTTCATCTTGTGGTATTTTTTTAATGTGTGTTCTCAATTAATCATGTTTTGTTGTTTTTGACATCATCCACATCCAGAGGGCCAGTCACTTTCGAATGTATGGGAATGGTAGGAAACCATTTGGAAATGCATGAAAATTTTCAGTTTTTATTCATTATCGTCTTTGTGGGCAGTTTTAGATGCACAAAAATTGCACGAGTATATTACTATAGTGATAAGGGAAACACTCGTTTATTTTTTCCTTCTGTGAAAGCATATTTTGTCACAAATCGTGGATTTTCTGAAATTCTCCATACTGCAAAAATGATTTTCCTACCACTGAAGGGGCGACATCTCTCGGATCTTCAGTATAGCTACTACTGAAATCATATAATTAATTGTTGCACACAACCTGATATGCGTAAATTGCATCCGGCCACAGGGCAGGGGAGACCTTTTTTATTTGGTTAAAATTTGCTTGACCATAAAAGTAAATGCTTTAATTACCTGCCAGTGTCGTGAATACGTCCTGTTCTAAAGTTTTTGACAGTTCCTCCATTTTCCGCTGACCCACCGCTGACACTTTAACACAAATAATCCGGGACCGGGAACTGAATTAAAACGCTGCTTTTCCAATGAACGCTGTTTTGAAAATGGCGGCATGTCGCGGCGTCGAGCGCGGCGTAAATTTTCTTTTCTCAGCGGGAATA